TGGCCGTGCCAGGCGTGCACATGTCCCTGCCAGGCGTGCACACGGGCGTGTGTGCCTGAACCGGAGATGTAGATGTATATATGGGGCTTGATTTATATCTAATGGCACGTATAAAGCTTTTGAAGGTGGCTGCAATGTAAAAAGTAATGACTTTATTACCCCTGAAAGGTTCTGCGGTTCGCAGTTAACACTCCTCTGAATTACAATTCATTACGCTCTCCAAAGCCAACCTGCATCAGAACACCTACCTGTGCTTATTCCCAATCACAGGCATCGTTCATTCTAAAAATCATAGCAAATTAAGCACTTGGTGACAACTAAATCTGTTTCATTATCGTGCCGTGTTTGAGATTCCAGAGGTGACTTCCCAGATCGCATCTCAAAACCTACAGTCAGGAGCTAATTTTACAGATGCTTTCATGAATGGCAGCGAGGATGTTCTTACCATCAGCATGCCCTTAATTCCAGCACCGTAAAAATGCCTCGATTTAAATGGAAACTCGCTGCCTTAAAAATAATATTTCATCCTGGCTGGATAATTATTAATATTAGCATTTGATCGCAAAAGTGCTGGCTCCCCCTCGTTCCTGTACCCCCCCACCCCACCCCACAGCGCTTCGCATTGTCATGTGATTGGAGGGAGATAACAAATCTCAAGAAAGAAAAGGAGTGAGAAGACATTTTTAACACGGCATGACCGCAGATTAATAATGCAGGTGGGTTTTTATTTCATTGTATTTTTAGGGGAAGGGAACGAGGCTGTTTAACGAGCAGCCGTGGACACAAAGTGACTGTATTTACAATCCTTGATGTGGCTTTCGGTGGGTAATAAATTATGACAATATTAAAATTATTTTCTGGCAGCCCAGATAACTGCGCTGGGGACCGTAAAGCCCCTACTGATTCCATTTATGCCTTGTAATTGCGGTCCACGGTCTCGCTCTAAACCTTTTGGTGTATATTGTGTGTAAACTTTTAGCTAATAGACTTTTTTTTGAATGGAGGGACTTTTCCCGGTACTTCCTGCCATATACATTTTGTCTCTGATCTCTGTATTTAATGGCCAAGTCCTGGTTTATGCTTTATAATGTGTTGACAAGTTTTCTAACAGACTTTCTGAAATAATGCACATATATTCACGTCGGTTAGAAACTCCACAGTATTTTTAGAGTCGAGTAGATCTATATCCTAATGCACTGAGAGGGAGTGTAAATCATAGAGGATTTCATAGCCCTTTCAGTAGTTTTCTGTATGAAGTATGAGCAGCGTGGCCTCCAGACGTAACCTTTTAGAAAAAAAGACAGTGCTTTTATTTTATGGTGTAAAGTGCTTTTAGCTTCAGGGCTCTGAACGTGAATGTGGTCAACAAACAGCTCTAGCCAGGGAGTTTGCTACAGCCTGCGCCGGGTGCTGCGGGGAGGGATACGGGCTGAGCATCCCCCAGGACACGGCACCCCGCCGGTGCCCTGGGCTGGGACACCTCGGGAAGGGGGCTGGGATGCTCCGGAGGGGCTGGGGATGGCAGCAGGACCAGCCCCGGGGGCAGAGACGGGGCTGGAGAGCTGTGGAGCAAGGGCGCTGCATCCCACGGGCTGCGCCTCCTGCATCGCTGCTTCCACCCCCAGCACCCCTCTGACACGCCGAGCATCTCCAGCCCTGTCTGCACCCCCTGCTCGCTCTCCCCTGGCTGGGCTGTGCTAACAAACCCACTGCAAGCGGCTGGTGAACACAGAGAGAAATGCCCAAGTGCTGGCTGCTAACACCTGGCAGATTGGAAGGGCAGGTGAAACAAACCCAGGCCAGCCCAGGAGATGACCCAGTGATCATGTTCTGTGCACTGACACAAACCTGTGTCACCTCCTGCCCTGCACACCCTTTGTCCATGCAGGGCATGCCTCGCATGGTGCTGCAGCGTGGGGAGCTGCTGCCACCCTGGCCATGCTACCAGCTGCTCCTTGCTGTGGGCTCCCAGCCCCAGAGCAAAGTCAGCTGGAGGAAATGTGGCCCTACACCTCAGCAAGTTCTGAGGTACGCGCTGAAATCAGAGCCACGGTGGGTCTCAGGCTGCCTCCAAGGGGAAGCTATCCTTAGAGAAGGGTCTGTCTCACTAGCTGAGTGCCCATCCCGCCCCAGGCTGTCCCACATGAACCAGAGCCCTGAGACACCAGCTCATGTCCTGGAGCCGCTGAGAGCAGGGCTGGGCACCCAACCCTGTCCCACAGCAATGGCAGGAACCTGCAGCAGCAGGACACAGTGCCCAGGTGACAACATTCACACTGTAAGAATCAGTCTAAGATTTAAATCTGCCAAAATGTATCCGTCCCTTTCCTCATACCTCAGTTCTCTGCCTGAAGAACAGCGTTGTCCTCCCTACATTCAAGCACCTGAGATTCTTAGAGGTTGGGAGGGACAATTCTGTAGGAAGGGACATAGAACCAACACTGAGAAGTGTGGCCTTCCTCCATGTCACCGGCAGGCTCCCAGGGCTGGGAGCTGAAGGTGCAAAGAGCGTGGCACAGCTCATGCCACGTTCTGCTGTCCCTGCCTGTCTGCTGCCTCAGTGACAGACTTGGCAGTGCCTGAGTTCAGCAACTTTGGTGGGCAAATGTTCCTGCTTCGAAGCTCCAGCTGTCACTCACTCGCTCGGAGCAGGAATCTCACTTGCCAACGCCACAGAACATTAGGACCAAGCGCGGTTGCAGAGCTGTGGCAGCTCCCGGCGCGGGGCTGCGTTATGTAAGGGCGGCAGATCGCACGGGCGCTTTCCCACACCGCCTCGATAGCCTCCACCCGGCGGAGGCACCGTGGGTGGAACTCTTATCACACCAGCCCGACTGCCCTGAATGAGCAGAGCACATTCTAGAAATAGTGCGTGCATTGGTGTTCCCGCAGGAGAAACTTGGGCGCGCTGCTTTGCCTCCTTTTCTCCTCTCCTTTTTCTTTTTTTTTTTTTTTCTCTTTCCCCTTTTTAATAAAGGCTCAAAATAAACTCTGATTTTGCAAGCTCTTACTAGCAGGCACAGCACGCAGAGCAGCGAGTCCGTGCAGGATCACAGACATCTGAGCGCCAGGTGACAGAAAGATTTCGTTATCGGCTCGCCCTAGGCAGGACCTGGAATAAAACCCTCAACTTGGGGAGACTTTTTTTCCATGGGTTGTTCAGCGAGGCCTGGGATTTCATCCTGCCTCTGCTTGCACAGCACCTAGCACGATGGAGCCCTGAACCTTGACTGCGCTTTCTGGGGATCACTGTGAAATAAATGGCACCAAGTGCTCCGGGAACAGACTTTGAAGTGGCAAAAACCCTCCCTTGAAGCACACAAAGAGTTTTGCTCATGTGTGGGCAGGCAGAGGAAGGCATTACTAAAAATCTCATTTTTAATCAAATGTTTGATTTCAGCCTAACTGGGTTTAGTTTGCACTACTTACTTAGTTGTCATATTGTAGGTTTAATATTTATGTCTTTTTATAAGTAAACACGTGACCTGCCCTGAGCGTTTCTATGCTACATTTCAGGCCAACGTGATTAAACTATGTGCATTTAAAACCCCCCAGAACCTGACCTATAATGCAAATCCATATAGTCTTAATTATTGCAGCCCCAGCAGCCACGGCACGGGTAAGGTGGCTGAGCTTTTGTTACTGGAGAGGCACAGGAGTTCTGGTCTGTCAGTGCTCCTGCTACAATCCCCATCTCGAGGAGGTTATAGCTTGGGCTGTGTAAATTTGATTGAGCTGAAACTTGGGACTCCAACTGTCAGTCCATATAGGGAATTATCTTATGAATAATTGGCTAACCCATCGCTTGATTCACAGACTTTCATAAAAGGATTTTTTAATGGGTTTTAATGTTTTTTTCTTTTACTGACATCTAGGGTATGAATTTGGTACTTCTAGCTCTTGTGAAGCTCCCTACTCAATGGAATATGTATGGATACTCCAGGTAAATCTACAGCTACCCTGAGGATTTCACAGGGCACACCTGCCACCCTGACCCACCTCCCTGTTCCTACACATTGGGAAGAGGCCAGGAACAAGAAATGACACCTTAGTTATCTCCAAAGAGGGTCCTAAATGTGTAAGATAAAGAGAACATAAATAAATATCTTTGCTAACAGTTTCTTGGAATCTTTTAATCTTCCTGGGTTTTATCTTTCACCCAGAAATGTGTGGAAATGAGTCCTGCCTGTGTGCTGGCATCACTTACAAAGGGATGAGCCACTCAACCTTTGAATATTGTGTCCGAGTTTAAATATCGGTTTGTGTTACAAAGGATTTTGCTGATAAATGCCCCCTACTTTTCCCTAGCTTTAAACTTGCAAAAGTCAGTTTTTATCACCTCAAATCACACTAAGACAAAGAGTGCATGTTTAGTTTAGATGCAGACTGGAGATCTGCCTTGACCCTACGGCAAACAAAGCCCAGCCCAGGGCCAGAAAGAAGAGCCAGGAGCTGTGCGTGGATTGCTCTCCCAGAGCTGGGTCCCAGAATTTCCATGCCCCTTCCCCACAGAGTTAACGAGCAGGGACACCTGAACTCCTCAAATGTTCATCTCTATCTGTTTCAGGAAGAGTTTTGACCAAGCCTGGCTGCAGCCTGGGGCTCTCACACTGCAGGGCTGTGTCAGAGCTCTGTGAGAAGCCAGCTGCTCCTGGGGTAGATGTCCCACACATCCAAATCCTCCCACTTGTGTTCCTCTCAGGACCCCATGATGGCACAGCTTGGTCCTTTTTAGATCCCAAGCCAGGTCACTGTGTCCAAGCCTGTGAGCAGTAGGAAGGCAGGTCATTGACACAAACAGCTTCTTAAATTCCTGTTCTGACTTGAGCTGCCAAGTGCCCTTCTGTGCAAGCTTAGATCCAAGGGGATCAAACTCTCCCGATGAGGAAATCTGGAAAGCCCTACTCTGCATGTGGCAGCAGGGAAAGGCAAATATTTTGTCTTCAAAAATAAATCCAGCTATACCTCAAACCAGTTTTCAAAAGTAGAATAACAAAAATAATTCACTAATCTGAGAAACCCGACATCAGCAATCAAAAAGAAATTATTTCTATTGAGAAATTAATTTTGCTACACAAGATGAAGAAAGATTTAGTTGTTTACTTATCTGCTGCTGAACACAGTCCCTCCTTCCTAGCACACTTGGTGTGAGGGACAGTAGAAAGGACAGTGCAATAAAAAAGGATTTTCCTCCCTAACTCTGCTTGATGTAGCCCCTGCCAGAGGAACCTGCTTGGCCTTGGGTACTGCAAAATTCTTAAGCACATATTTATCTTTGGGCACATCAGCTGTACTTACATGCTCAAAGTAAGCATGTACTCAAGCATGCTGTTAGATTGGTGCCTTAACATCTTCTGTAAATAACTCACATTGCTTTTTAGAGCTTCAACTTTTAGTCACATAGAATGCATTGGACTGAAATTTAACATACACAATCATCATTCTCTATATTCATTTTATATGACTATTTCAGGTGACATTTAGGTTTAGCTTTTAGCTCCAGCCAAGAAGAAATGTGCCTGCTTTGGAGAACATGACATAGTTTGTGTGAGGATCTTTTCTAGATGAAAAATAATTAATAGTTGAGAGAGCAGAGTCCTTTCTCTGTGCTTAAAAATAAGGACAACTTTGCTGTGGGTTTTCTCCTTTGCCATATTTATTCTACGCAAAATTTCAGCCTAATTGTTAAAATGCTTACAATAATATTTTAATGCAACTCTCTGTAGTCAGAAGAATAAATTATTATACAGCCCAAAGCTGCAAAGACACAGCACCAAGGGGGAGCAGGAGTGGTGGTGAATAACCTGTGATAAGAGCCCACTTCTTTGAGCAGTTTGGATAGTTTTGCCACCATTTGTTATTGTCAGTACACATAATTCTGTCAGTGCAGTGTGAATCCTGGCTGCAGTGAAAAGAATGCCTTCTCCCACCAGTGTGAATAAGATTTCACTCAATTAAAATAACGTGCAAGTATATTGTATGGCATTACATAGGAAGCTGATGTGCATTAAGTATGAATGCTGGGGTTGGGGGAGTTATTGTACTAATGCTATTGTTCACTGAGCAACTATTCCCCAGCATTTAAAAAAGCGGGGGAAATTAAATACAGAAATCAGAAATAAGTACAATGTTTGATATTACCATACTGAAATTAGTGTATTCACAATTTAGACTGTAATTTGCCCTATCCTATTTAGTTTCACAGCATCTGAGAGCCTGCAGAGAGAGAGAGACAAGCAGATGTAAACACAAGGAGGGAGAGCTGCATGCTCTGTCTGTGCTGACACACACACCTCCCTCAGACCTGTGGGTGCTGTGGATATCCACGGGGTAAACCCAGGCCATACAGAGCACCAGGCTGTGGGGAGAAGCTTGGTCCAGGTGTGGCTGGAGCATTGGCACAGAGCAGAGGGGAGCCATGGCCATCTCCTGCTGAACGGTGCCGAGCATCCCCTCAGCACGGGGCTGAGATGGGCTGGGGGCTCCTGGCACCCTGCTTGGTGCTGCCCAGAAATGAAATAATCTGAACACTTAGGGACATACAAGAACACAGCCATGGTCATTCCCAAGGGGAAGGCCAAAAATGCCTCACCATACGTGTGTGTCCCCAGAAAGCGCCTCACAATAGGTGTGTCCTAGGCAGCCACTGCACTCAGCCAATAAAAGTGAAACTGTTCTCTATTAGCTCTTACATTCAATGCCATACTGTACATTGCTTATGAGAGGGACTAAGAAATACCTGTACCACGGCACTGTACTTTTAAAGTGTCTGTTCAATGCCTTTCCCAATCTCCAAGGATTGCCTCCTCCTTAGACTCATGCATTCAGCGAATATGACGAGGCTAATTACTTTTCCCTGAAGTGATCACTGCTCTTCTCTAGCACGGACCTCACATTTTCAGCCTCAGAACTTAAAATAACAGAAAAGAAACACACAACTGCTTTCAAATCCTAACACAAAAATCAGTTTGGCAAACAAATTCCCCGCCACGGGCTTTACCAGGCTTTACTCTTCCATCAAAGCCCCCGTGCACGTAGAAGCCTCTTTGCCACTTTGGAGAGGGGGCTCGGTATTTTCCTGTTACCTTTCCTTCCTGCGAAGCAATCAGGGAGAGCGGCAGGAGGCTCCATCAATATGCAGATTGCTGCCAGATCCCGGGATCCGCTGGTTCCGCCTCGGGAAGCGA